TAAAAGGTATGTAATTCTAAAACCCTCTCATATTAATTTCGAAAATATCCTAGGGTTTCCAGGTTTCTTTTTGATGCTCTTAGTTATAGGTTCAATAGAGAATTCATAGATCCTATTTAGGTTGCATGCAAACTTAAGGGTTTTAGTTTTGTCTGTTAACCTAAATCCCATCAAAGACGGCCAAGATGATTCAGGAGGTTCGTGGTAGACTTCAGACAACGTAGAGTAAGTAGAAGAGCTACGCACACAGACATCGGTTAGACTAGGAGTTCCAGGTCGGGGATATGGTACTCGTGAAGGTGTCACCTTGCAAGGGTGTCATCCAATTCAGGAAGCGTGGAAAGCTAGGCCCTAGATACATTGGTCCTTTTAGGGTTTTAGCCCGGGCAGGCAAGGTGGTGTATCGTTTGGACCTTCGAAAGGAACTCAATCAGATTCACAACACTTATCACGTCTCTCAGTTGCGGAAGTGTTTGGTTGATGATTTCATAGTGGTTCTATTGGAGGATATTCAGGTGGATGATCTTCTGAATTAACTTGAGACCGGTGGCGATCCTTGAACAGAAGAAGAAAACCTTGAGGAACAAGGTTGTAGGATTAGTGAAGTCACATGATTAGTGAAGGCGCAGTGGCAGCACCGAAAGGGTTTTAAGTGGACATGGGAGCCTAGGGAAGAGATGAGGGAGCATTACCCCAGATTGTTTGTGGCATCGGACCTCAAGGACGAAGTCTGATTCAAGTGGGGGAGAATTAAAATACGCGATATGTCAGGTAAATGCTAAAGTATTTGATTTCCTTTTTGTTTGGATATTTGGTCCCCAGTACTTGGGCGTACATAAGGTACGTTGGGCGTACTCCAAAGGATTGCATAAGGCGAGATGTCACCCAGGTACGCTAGGTGTACGTCAGTCAGGGGCAAACCCTAATTTTTAGGGTTTGCACCCTATGTAAGCACATTAAGTCCTCAATGCCCTCACCTTATCAGCCCCTATTTCCTTTTTGAGCTAACCTCGAAAACCTTATTCATTTCTCAAAGAGATTGAGCTTGTATTTGTGTGTTTTGTGTGTGTGTGTGTGTATGGTGCTTATTGAAGAAGAAGAAGAAGAAGATGGCTTGAGGAGAAGCATTTGACAAGAATGAACTTGTAGATCTAGAGGTTATTCACCATTTCTAGCTCAGTGTGTGTGTGTGTATGGTATAAAGTCTAAAACTTGTTCATTCTATGTCTAGATCTAAGTGTGGGGAAGAATTTAGCATATTTTGGTCCCATAGATGAACTCTTATGAGTAAATGCTACTCTTAATGTTATGAGACGTCCCTTTTGTTGTTTTGAGGTCCTTTGAGCCATAAAGCTTGTATCTTAGTGGTTGTGGATCAACCATGCATGAGTTAGTGACCACTTAATGGAAGTAGAATGTTAAACCCATGACTTGTGTCCCATTAAGACATGCAAAGGGATAAAGTTGCCAACTTTATTGTTTAGGACGTCTTAAGGAGGCTACATCTGAAGTTGGATGTTAGATCTTAACTGATTAAGACCTTAAAAGGAAAATTAGCCAACTGGGGCATATACAGTGGTACGTTGAGTGTACGCACCTAGAGTCCTGATTTAGTGAAGCATCGGAGTACGCCAAGCGTACTGAGGGTACGCTTAGTGTACTCACGCAAGGGGTTTTGGGCTTTTAGTTTCAAGCCATCTTAGGCTTTAGGGTTTTGGGCCCTTGTTCGACCACAAGTTATTCTAGGTTGGGCCTTTATGGATTTGGGCCCATATTGGACTTACAATGCCTTTTTGGACTTTTAGGCTAGTTTGAATTTGGGCCTTGGTATGTTAGGCCCAATAAGGGGAGGGAAAAGCACCCTTTTTCCCTTAAATCCCGGATTTAGGATTTGGACTCTCGGGTTGGGTTATTGACCTAATTTCTAATAAGGGTTTTATTAGTTGTGATTTAGTGAGAGGATTTCACGAGACAACAACTCGAGTGTGATTTGATATCTTCAGTCTGAGGTGAGTTTCCTTCACTATATCCGTGAGTCGAAGACACCAATGCCGGCCCACTAGATTATGTTTGTAGGAGGATGATTGTCTTCGTAACAATTACCAGTTATATCTGTATATGCTTGATGTATCTATGACACTTACTGTTATGATTATATGCTAGTTGTAGGGGTTGAAATAGACCCGATACCGGTTGAAAGAGACCGAAGGGGTTGGAATATACCCAATAACGGTTGAAAGAGACTAAAGGGTTTGAAATATACCCAATACCGGTTGAAAGAGACCGAAGGGGTTGAAATACACCCGGTAACGGTTGAAGAGACCAAAGGTGTTGAAACAAACCCAATTATGCTTTGAATGTTATGTATGTATGGTATGTGGTATTTTGGGGAGATTACTAAGCTTTGTGCTTACTGTTTTCTATTTATGTTTCAGGTACCTCTAGCTTGAAAGGGAAGGATCTGGCTTGATCACACCGCATCTGCCCATGTTTTCTACATTTACTTGATTTCTTGGATTTATACTCTGATATTATTTTCATTATGATACATTTCTAGTTATTTTGTCATGACTATTTGGATGTTTGAAATGAAAATTTTGGGATGGTATATATATATATATATATATATATATATATATATATATATATATATATATATATATTACATGGCACATATTGTACATGTCACTGTCTTAATCCATGTATTTTTATGATCAAATGTGTATACACACACACACACACATATATATATATATATATATATATATATATATATATATATATATATATATAGAGAGAGAGAGAGAGAGAGAGATGCAATACATCTGATCATAAAATACATGGGCTAAGACAGTGACATATACAAAATGTGTCATGTATTAAAAAGATATTCCGAAAGAGTTTAATAAGCTCTACCTACTACTTTGATATAGATTGTACTTTCAATATGCTTTGGATCCTTTAGCTTTCAATATTGATGATTTCGACATCTTCACAACACTTTGATACCTACCATTCTCCCTTTTTGTGAAGATACGATATTTGTCTAAATAATTTACAAAATTTCACAATGCTAAGAAGAGCCTTCCTAACTTCCAAATACCATGTAAGCAATTCATGCATTTCCTTCTTGTACATGGCTCCAAAACAACATCTTATCTGCCTTTATCAATTGATTAAGGGTAAGGAGGTTTCCAAATACCATATAAGCAATTCATGCATTTCCTCTAAAGATTGTATTTATTTTGTATATTTTTACTTAGATACTCTGTAGAATATAAAGAGTTTGGAGTTAGTTATCAAATAGGGGAGATTGTTAGGCCCCTTGTGATTGGATAAGTCAAAAGTTGTTTATCATCGGATATTGTCCGTGCCACTAAATGTCACCGGGGGTTGCATCCCTTAATAACATCAGGATGCTTAATGAAGATGCGAAACAAATCAAGCACTCAAGAATGAAGATAACTTCCTTCTATGTTAAGGATTGTTTTGAAGATTGGTTTGCCATAACAAAAGACTCCTACTTTGTTTGGGATTGTGTTTTCATGTCCATCTATCTTGTATTTTAAGATATAATTTCACATCTTTTGTTATATAAATCGATGACCCTTTACACAATAGGGTATCGATATATATAACAAAAGATGTGAAATTATATCTTAAAATACAAGATAGATGGACATGAAAACACAATTGTGTAAAGGGTCATCGATTAGGAATGTGTTAATAATCAAAGTTTGCTCTTTGATTATCTTATTGAAACCTTCTAATCGAAAAAGTTTGGTTTCATTATTTTTGTTTGTTATCGTTCTTATTCGTGTTAATTACTTGTTGAATATGTTGGTTTAGACCAATATACCCACCACATTTTTTTAAATGTATTTAATAATTATATAAATATTTGAAAACAATAATTAAATAAAAACATTACAAAATAAATCTAATGGTAATATTCTTCATGATTTCCTCTAGAACCCTCAAAAGTCAAAACCATATGGAGCTTGTATTTTGTGTGATATAATGTATTGTAGTTATGTGAAATGCTTGATATGGAATGGGTGTATTTATAGTGGATTTTTATTTAAAAAATTTTAATTTAAAAAAAATAGCCATTGGAGGGATGGGAGATTGATTTTTGTGCGGTAATCTCTTTTCATACGGTATACCCACTGCACATCTGGGCGATGTCATGTTCACTGCCCCACTGCGATAACATACCACCCAACCCTGTGTGTGGTGGGTATACCGTATGAAAAGAGATTACCGCACAAAAATCAATCCTCACTGCGATAACAACCCACCGCAACCCTGTGTCGTTGTCTTCCACACCAATTAATCTAAGTAGTCATTTTACATGGAAATTGGACAACAAACATCACAAGAACTTCAAATAAGAACCAATTTTGTAAAAGGAAATTTTCTAGAACCAAAATTGTAAAAAAAATCAACTAAACTAAAAGAGTAAAGAGGTAATTTATTTGGGAAAAAAATTACAAATCGTTCAAATTTAGGTCCAATCAACATCAATCATAGTACATGAGTTGAGCAAGTTTGCAAATAGAAAAGAAAAAGATGAATTTTGCAAGTAGATATTGTTGTGATGTAGTGTCATGTCGTGTGTTAGAACCCTACATTCATAACTTAATTCCCAAAATCTTTATAAAAGATATACCTTTTACAAATTTTCAGATATTGTATAGGATTCTTGATGCTTGATTGGAAAACTAATTGGAAACTTAACATTTCATTATTTAGTAAGAAAACTACTACAAACACAAATTGAGCAAATTTGCAAATAATAAGACGAATTCTGATGATATTATAAGGCTAAAGTTCCAAGAAACAGTTGTAAGTAGATATCGATTCCATAGAACAAACCAACTTCATATAATTTTTTTAAACTTTTACATATATGAAGCAGAAAAAGTAAAAGACAGAAAATTTTGCGTATTCATAACATTAAGAAAGGTAGAAAACTACTTACCTCATATCACTAAGATCTAAGAAGCCTTGACCTTTTCTTCATTCACAACAGAAAGTATTGGCAAACTGCTTAAAAACTCATCAAGCCCTTCAAAAAATCCATTACCTTCAATGTTATCTTCTTCACCCTGCCCTTGACCTCGATTTCCACCAATCATCTTTGAACCAGATTCTTCCCCTTCATTGTTATTAAACTCAACATTCAAATCCAACTTCCCCATTTCTTTTGCAACCCGACCCGATTGTCTTCTTAGGTTACTATTACTAACCAATTCCTTTTTGCTACTCTCTACACTGTTTTCCAGAATCTTTTTCCTCCTTTTTCTAGTTTTCTTAACATGTACACCTTTTGCTTTCCTTTTACGACCTCTCTTCTTCATCTTTTTCACCTTTTTGTTATCGGTGCCCTTCCAATCAAGATCAGAATCGTCGCTAGGTTCTGAGATACCTGTAAAGATATCATCTGTAACATCATCTATGTAGATACGTGGTTCCGAATTTCTTCTTTTCTTTGGCGAACTATCGTTTAGATTGTGATGAAGATGAACTTGAGGTGAGACATCGTAGAGAGGTGAAATGGATGTCCAATATTTGTTTGTGCCTTTGCCATTGTTGTTCTCGAGGTTTGGTAGCGAAATCCCTAATGGGAAGGACCCCCAACAACAGAAATAGGCTTCTTGGCCTTCGATTATGGGTGGAGGAGAGGGGACTGGAACTGCTTGAAACGCTCTTTCGCAGTTGCGACAACGGAGGGTGCACTCTGCGTAAACCCTAGGGTATTCGTACATGTATAGACAGTAAGGACACGCAGTCCAAAATGTAGGAGATGATGAATCGATGTTCTCAGAATCTGACTCGGTTACTGTTTCTTTTTCTTCCTCGCTCACACCATTGTTCGTATCAGGATTAGTAGGAGGCTGGACAGGGGTAGCATTCTGTTCCAGCGACTCTTGTTGCTGATGATGTTGTTGCTGCTGCGGTTGTGATTGTGGCTGTGTATGTGAAGGCGGCTGTGAATGGGGTGACGGTTGTGGCCAAGACACTGGGGGGTTGCAGCGGTGCTTCAGGAGGAGGAGGCGGCGGAGACCCCGATGGAATATGTGGCTGCGGTTGTGAATGTGGTACCGGTTGTGGCCAAGGCATTGGGGGGTTGTGGCGATGCTGCGGGAGGAGGAGGCGGAGGCGGAGACGAAGTCGTTGACTGCATAGGTGGTTGCGGTTGTGGATGCGGTGGCGGTTGTGGCCAAAACACCGTAGGTTGTGGCGATGCTGCAGGAGGCGGAGGCGGAGACGGAGTCGTCGACTGTATAGGTGGTTGCGGTTGAGAATGCGGTGGCGGTTGTGGCCAAGACACCGGAGGTTGTGCCGATGCTGCAGGAGGAGGAGGCGGCGTCGACGATCGCATAGGTAGCTGCGGCTGAGGTGGTTGTGACGGTGGTCGTAATTGTTGCTGCGGCGTCGACGTAATTTGAAACGGTTGTACCTGAGGCTGAAACAGTTCTTCCTCCTCGCGTTGTTGAAACAATTGCTCCTGCTCACGCACCGGCGATGGCCTAACAGGATTTGATTGTGACAAAAAATTGTGCTGTTGATGACTCCGCTGTACCCTAGTTTGAAGAAATGTCCGTTGTTGTTCGACCAATTCCTGTTCATTACCTGACCCCATACGATTGATCGAAAAAAAATTATGTTGATGTTGCTGCTGGTGTTGATGTTGTTGTTGCTGTTGCTGGTGATGGTGTTCGAGGTTAAACCCTATATGATTCATCTCCTGCTGTTGTGGAAAATCAAGCTCCGAATCATACATAGATTTCCGTAAGGGATTCGACAACACAGCCCAAGCATCATTCACAAGCTGAAACGCTTGATCGGAGTACGGAAACCGGTTTTGGTGAGGGTTTAATGTTACAGCAAGCCGTCGGTACTGATCGGCGATGTGCTCCGTGTCCTGAACAAACCTAACGAGTTGAAGAATCGCGTAATAATCCGGCTGCTGAGTGCCATGGCTCCCGGCGACTCGTTTCTCGGCGGCGAGGAGCGTATCTGCAATTGCTAGGATCTGATCAGCAGCTTCAAGTCTCGGGTCGGATTCTCGTGCTCGGATCGCAAATGTCTTGGATCCTACAAGGTCGTGACCCATGAGCAGTTTCTCGGCGATTCCGAGCCACCGTTGTGCCTCCGCCCGTGCTATGAAGCTATGAGGGTCCATGGTTTCTCTCTGAAGCTCAAACTGCAGTTATGGTGGTCGGAGGGAGAGGTAAAAGGGTAGCAGAATTTTTTAATATGACGGAAAAGGACATGGCTTTTATGAGGAAAGGGTAGGTACAAACGGAAGAGTTGCAGGGGTATAAATGCCTTTTTGAAAGGTTATGGAGTTAGAATCTAGTGTATCTAACTGGAGGTCATGCACGTTTAAATTGAATTATTTGCAGCTAATTGACAAGAATAAATGTTGGCGCCAGATGAAAAATGGCTACTTCCAGAAGCAAATCGCAATGTATGGTTGTACATTATGGATAATTTGTTGTATTCTACCCTTTTCGGTTAAATTTGTACGGTCTTTTTTAAATAGATTTGACCTGTGAATCATCATGATTTATACCACGAAAAAGTGAAAATATTATATATTTTAATATATGCTAAGAATATAAAAATTTTGTTATAAATTCTGTGGGACATACTGATTTTTTAAACACAAAATTACAAAGGGTTGGGTTACATTTTCATTTACCTTTTAATATCAATCTAATCAACCTTTTATATTTAATTTTACATCATTTTATTTATTTTTCTTTCTCTTTTTGTTTTCTTGTTGTTTTTTCGAATCGATAAATATGACAAACGTAGAAAATGCAAGGATAAAAAGTCTGGACTTTGCTACGAACCATTTTTTTCATGTTTTTATGAAAAAAAATGTAAAAGTTTTAACTACAAGGACCAGAAGTGTCAAAATTGCTAAAGAATTAAAGGGATAGGAATTAACAACTTTTTCGAAAAGGGATCATAATTGTCAAAGCATTAAAGTTTTGTGACCAAACTTTAAATATTAAAATGTTCCTAAAAAATATAAAATTATTGATTGCAAGGACCAAAAGTATCAAAATATCCAAAGAATGAATAGCAAAGTTGCCAAAAAATAGCAAGTTTACTATTCTTAAGATTCATTTCTTTAATATATATATATATATATATATATATATATATATATATATATATATATATATAAAATATTATAATTATTATTATCAGGGTTTAGATTATTTTTGGTCACTTAACTTTTGGTTTTTTTCTTATTTGGTCATTTAACTATTTTTAAGTTTTAAAAGGTCATCAAACTTTTGATTTTGTACTCATTTAGTCACTTAACTTTTGATTTGGTCACATTTAGTCACCCAACTTTTAGATTTGTGTTCATTTAGTTACCTAACTTTTAAAATTGTGCACATTTAGTCATTAAACTTTTTAAAAAATTTAAAAGTTTAGTGACTAAATGAACACAATTTTAAAACTTTGGTGACTAAATGTGACCAAAACAAAAGTTAAGTGACTAAATGAGCACAAAGCCAAAAGTTTGACGACCTTTTAAAACTTAAAAAGAGTTAAGTGACTAAATGGGCACAAAACAAAAAAGTTAAGTGATCAAAAATGAGCTAAACCCTTATTATTATTATAAATTTTGATAACCATATAAAATTGGGACAACATTTTAAAATTCGAACGACATTATAAATTCGGACGACATTTTAAAATTCGAACGACATTATAAATTGTGATGAAATTATAAAATTTGAACGATTATATAAAATGTAACAAAAGTAAAGTTTGTTTTCAATCCGCATAACGCACCACGTAAATGTAAATAACGAACCAATTAATATATCAATGATAAATAAAGACAAACTTTGTTTTTGTTCCATTTTATATTGTCTTTTGAATTTTATTATGTCGTCCAAATTTATAATGTCGTACGAAATTTAAAAATTCATCAGAATTTATAATGTCATCCGATTTTAAAAACCGATTTATAAAATATAAAATAAAAATGACTTAAAAACCAATTTTATATAGTCGTTCGAATTTATAATATCATCCGATATATAAAATGTTGTTCGAAATTTATAATAATAATAATAATAATAATAATAATAATAATAATAATAATAATAATATGTGACATCCTCAATTTCACGGCTATAAAAGACCGATTTTGTCTATTTTTTATAAAAATCAGAGTAATTCTTTTAATAAAAATGTTGCGGAATTTGTTCACAGAAAAACATGATAAATACGTTATCAGAGTATTTCCGAAGAAATGTATTTTTATTCATCTTAAAATATATGGGATATCATCGTCAATACAAAAACATAAGCATAAACAGAACTTACATTTATTTACACTACTAATTTTACATCTCCTTTAATCTCTCAGTTTAACGTAGCTTCGTATCGACACCTGTAATACAATTAAATTGAGTGGGTCAGGCTTGGGAGCCTGGTGAGCATATAGGGTTTTCAACCTACAATAAATAAATCTATTATGTTTAAACATCAAAAAATCAATCGAATTTTCATCCTCATCAACTTTTGTATTGTTAAAGATCTTACGAATCATATATCCTTCACTCATTCATTCCTAAGGATTATCCTAAGGAATAGGCACGAAGTCCATCGCTGACCGACATTTACACAACATACACTAAGTCTATAGCTACCAAAATAACCAAAGGAATAGGCACGCAGTCCATCGCTGCCCAAGATTTATACAACAAACACTAAGTTCATAGCTGCCAAGGTACTAAATCTATAACTACCAATGTTCATCTATACAGTACTAAATCCATAGCTACCAACGTACATCTATACAGTACTAAATCCATAGCTACCAACGTACATCTATACCGTCTTTCATCCTTCATTATTTATCTACCCATGTTTTACCCAACATATTTGTAGATATAAAAATACATATACAGTTTAAAATCTGTATAAAACATTCATTCAACATCCATCTCGAAAAAACAAACAACATATATGTAATGTCCGGGTTTCAGGGCTAAGCATTTTTGACAATGTAATAGTCTAGGTCAACTATTGTAACTTATTTTGAAGTAACAAAGATAAAATATTTGAGTATTATGTGAATTATGTGAATTATGTGAATTTTTATGCTTATTATGTATTTATAAATGTTTAATAAATAAAGAATAAAAATAAGCGTCAAAACTGAAGTGTGAGATAAGTCCGATATCTCTACATAAAGTTGTAGTGGTCGAAACAAGGATTCCGGAGATATAAAGAACGCCGAAATCCGAGTTATAACGAAGAAGTTATGACCCGTTGAAGTTTCGCGACGGAACCTGCACAATACCGGGAAGCGTAAATAGTGAATTTACGATAGAGCGAGTTTTAGCCTTAGCGGTCTAAACGAAAGTTGTAGAATACGTTAAACCGAGAGCGTCCATAAAAAGAACGTCATAATCTGACTTCGTATGAAAAAGTTGTGATTTTTTGAAGTTTCGGCTTAGTAGTGTACAACCCGAAATTCGAGTAATAGATCAAGCGGTTTTTAGCCGAAATGACCTAAATGAGAATCGAAGATCTCGTTAAGAGTAGCGTAACAAGAAAAAGATGGGCGAAAACGGACATCGAATGAAAAAGTTATGAATTTTTAACAGATCAATCATGTCCCGGCTTGTTAATGATATAACTTTTAAAATAGAGCCAAAATTAGCCAACGGAGTCTAAATGAAAATTGTAGAGTGCGTTCCCACCGTCGCGTGGAGATAAAGAACGTCGAAAACGGAGCTCATACGCGAAAGTTACGAATTTTTAAAATTCGAAGCATAAAATTGCGAGACCTAATGAAGAATCGATAACGTGGCAGTGATCTAGACCGTCCATCACAGATCAGAGGTCGCCTTGGATTCGGACACGTCGCTCCTCACCTACGCCCCACGTCCGAAGTCGGTAAGCCCCGTGTACCCTCGCTCTTATCCGCTCCGAGTGCAAGACAGCTGGTGGCTCGCTGGCAACCTCATCCGAAGATACGCGTCGCGTAGCTAAGGATTACGCCCAGCATAGTCTGAGGCTTCACATGCTATAAAAGGGGGCGAGGGTCTCCAGATTTTTCACACATTTCTTCACTCTCTCTCTCTAAGATCTTTCTCTCTCTAGGGTTTTGAACCCTCCCCTAAGCCTAGGTGATCCCCTAGCACCCTAAGGAAGCCCCGAGGCTCCCGGAGTCCTAAGAAAAAGGGTTTTTCCGTTTCGGTATCTAAAACTAAGTCATATCTCTTGCTACAATTTATGAAAAAAAAGATTTGACATCCTCCTTTCATTTATCTTATTATTACATTTTAGAAACTATATAAGATGACAATGGAGAGAGAGAGAGAGAGAGAGAGAGAGAGAGACTTTATCTTTCAAGCTTCGCATGTATCTAAACCTAGGTCATATCTCTTGCTACAATTTATGAAGAAAAAGATTTGACGTCCTCATTTCATTTATCTAATTATTACATTTTAGAAACTATATAAGATGACAATGTCGAGAGAGAGAGAGAGAGAGAGAGAGAGAAAGGGGGGGGGAGAGAGAGAGACTTTGTCTTTCAAGCTCCGCATGTATCTAAAACTAGGTCATATATCTTGTTACAATTTATGAAGAAAAAGATTTGATGTCCTCATTTTATTTAGACAAAATTACAAAAATTGTCCCTATGGTTTGCCAAAAGTAACAAAGTCAGTCTCTGCTAATTTTTTTTTTTTGATGCAAATGGCCCTTGTGGTTTGCAAAACTTGCATAGATGACCCTTTTTACAAACGTCGTTACTATTCTGCCATTAGGGACTGAATCTGTAAGAACATTTTCGTCTTTTCGAGTATAAAGGGACTGAATTCGTGACATTTACTAAACCATAGGGACCATTTTTGAAATTTCTTTGAAAAAAAGAATTAAATTGCCAGGGGGACGGCACAAACTCATGACCTCCACCCTTTAAATTACCAAAGCCTTAACCAATTGATCTGAATGCTCTCTTGGTTTATTCTTTCTTAAAACTAATTTATATATTAACAAAATTGATAAAACATAAACAATAAATAAATTATAAAAAGCATTTTTTACATAATTTTTTTAAATAAAACAAAATGCATTTCAGTCGTACTATAAAAAAATAGTTTTTTACAAACAAATTGTACGTATTTTTATGTA